GTTATCATCATCCGGGACAACACAAAAGATTGACATAATGGATGAGTTGATCTCATACGAGGGTAATTGGCCGGCAGGGGGTATCATATCAACCGCCGACGATATGTTGAGGTTTGGAAACGCAATGATCTCTTCATATAAGGGCACAAATGGTTAATAAATTAATTTTTAATATAAACTGTGATCAGTTATAAACAACCTATTTCTTTCCTTAACTATATATACTAAATATTAATCAATTTTAACAAAAAGTATACCAAAGTTTACCTTGATTATAAATAGCGAGTAAACGTGAGAACACGCTTTTCGAGTGCACTAGTTCACACGTTTACTCGATATTTATAAACAAGGTAAATAACGTATGGCTCTTCTTTAATACAGATATAAAAAGTTCATTATACCTGAACATTTTGGTATACTTTGTTCAAATTGATTAATATTTAGTATATTTAATTAAAGAAAGAAATAGTTCGTTTATAACTGATCATGATCAGTTTATTATAAATAAATTATTATTAATTATTTGCTTATATTCATAGGTTTCTTGACTCAACAAACAGTACGGGAGTTGTGGTCACCGGAAACTGTGGGCAAAGTTAAGCCTATAATTATGGGAACCGATGAATATGGTATTATAATTGTATAAGTCAATTTGTGCCTGATAAATTTAAGATTCAATTTAAATTGTCATGATTTAGCCAAAGGGTGGATGATTTCAAAACCACCGGAACCCTATCCATATAAAACAATTATTTGGCATTCAGGGGGAATGGACGGTACGACTACCCTGTTCAATCTATTTCCCGATGAGAATATGGTGGGCATTGCTTTTCTCAATAGAGGTATGGGTGCGCAGGGTTTGGATTTGGAAAAGTTGGCGCTAAATGTGGCCAAAAATTTTAAAGATTTTCTGTAAAAATTGAGAATTTCTATGAAAATTAATAGAAAAAATACAATTAAATTACATTTTAATTGGTAATTTTATAAATGTTCAGTTATTAGTAAAAAAAATTAAAAATAGCAATCTTAAAAACTTCATTAATAATAATAATAATTTATTATCCAAAATGTTGATAAATTTACTGTATTATTTTCATTTGTAAAGCTATTAATTCCGTATCTAATTGCAATTATAAGCAAGGTCGTGTGATGTCCGTAAAATACCTGTGTTTAATGATTCATTAAGAAATAATTTAATAACAAATTGATATAAATATTTCAATAATTATTGATTTATAAGTGCAGTATAGAGGGTAGTGTTGACCACATTAGAAATGACAGTTTGTCTGTACATTGACCAGAGTCAATTTGCTCATTAATACTTAATTACAAATTAGATTACACAGTGTGCATCATATGAAATTACAATTGTATATCACAATTGTATGTAAAAGCAAAGGATCTAAAGTTTTATATATAAATTAAAACATTTTATAATTAATATATATTATAAAAATGTTATTTAAACCTAGCATTGTTTTTTATGTTATTTTTGATTAATTTTTCATATAGTTTTAGTAAAGATTAGCTTATTTCTAAACTAGATTATTTAATTTTATTCTATTTAAATTCCAACTATGGTTTTAGATCTTACAAGTGCTCCCGATGAGACAACTTGATAGTTAGGCACAGGTCGTTTATTTAAAATATGCTATAGATTAAAAAGTACAAGGCATATTTTCACAATAGATAGTTCATTTAAAAGAGCATAAAAAGTAAGAGATACTCAAAAATTAATTTGTTCAAAATAACCATATTTATTGGCCGTGGAGGCCCGATATGTCTAAAAATTTGACTTTGACAGTTTATAGCATCAACAGAATAGGAATTTTAAATAGTTATGATATGAAAAATGTAAATAATTTAATTCTCTATCAATTCCTAATTTATTAAACATTTCTTCATGACGGCACCGGGAGGAATGGTAGGTGTTTTATTGTAACTCGACTAGAAGTCATTGAGTAAACCTAATTGGTGCGTTGAATAGTGCTCAAAAATGAACAAGAATGAGCAACAACATTTTAATTTTTCAAACATTTATTAAACTAACTGTTTAAGAGCAGTCATTGTTTGCAATTTTACATTGAATATTGCCTTTGAAAAGGAGTTTTTATAACTTGATGTTTGTCTACTTTTTCAATGGCAATATTCAATGTTTGCAAACTTTTTATTAATTACAATCAAATGTTAGTGATTGAGAAAAATAAAATTATTTTCTATGTTTAATACACAACTCGCAGCTGAAAAGTAGTGTTAACTACGATAAGTGCAACATTTATTCAATAAATATTATTGTTTTACATTGCTTTACATTTGTAATACTTGTATATTATACGAATAAAATAATAACTTGTTTTATTGACATTTAACTGAAAAATTCTCACGATAATAATTTTGTTTAATTTTATGTAAATAGTAAATTAATTTGTCTAAATTGAAATGTAATGTTTTAAATTAAAGTAGGCTATTACTACGGTAGTAATTAATTATAAACCATATTTGCCTCTAACCTGAACCCATACTTTTCAGTGTCTCTCTATCTCTCGCTCTAAATGTGTTCAAAATTATTGTCCATTAAAACCAGTTGTAAATATACTTATGAATAAATATTAATAAAGTTATAATTCATAAATAATAAGCATTTAAAGCAATTTTTATAATTATTTTAGTGAAACCCTAAGGTTTTTCTGGGATAAATCAAGTAAAGAACTTTTCTCATTATTAGTGTCACAATCTTGGTCCACCACATACGGTATAATACAACATATTTAATGAAACTTTTAAATAACAAAACCAAAGTTTGCATAATGAATAGTAAGCTATTGATTGGACTGTTATTACACGTTGTGGTCAATGGCGTGGACGTAGTGCGTGAGTCGACACATAAAAGTGACGATAAAGTGGTCATTGAAGCCAACAATGAGTTTGCGTTCAATATATTCAATATTTTGGCCAAAACTGGAAATCACATCATATCTCCACTTTCAATACTATCGGCATTGAGTCTAACTTTTAATTATTTATTATATTACGTAACAAATCATTTAATAATTGATAATTTTTAATTAAAGGTATTTTAATGAATGGCGCAAATGGTGAGACACTCAGCAGTTTGCATACTTTCCTGAAGTATAA